GATGAGCAATGAGATAAAGAACTTGTTGATGCATATGGCCAAGTCATTGATGCCACAAAGTGGAGGAAGCTGGCATTAAAACTAGAGCATAGTGATTACCGGAGCATGACTGTATGGACCCTGTAGTAGAAGCTGCCGTATCGAGTGATCCATAATTTGATAACCGTTAGCAACAAAGTTATGTTGAAATATAAATTTGGTTTTATTTGTTTAAATAAAGCTTAATTTCTAGAAGTTTATTCTAGAATATGTGGTAGGTATGAAATTATTGTGTGGTAGGTGTGGTAGGTGTTGAATTATTGTGTGGTAAGTGTGGAATTATTTGTAACCATTGGATTGAAATTGTGGTGGCACAATCCTAACCATTAATTTAGGAGGTGCCACTAGTATAAATAGGGGTGAAGTCTTTGAATTTGTATCAAGCCAAGTAAAGGTGATAAATAAGAGTGAAGTTTCTTCCATAAGTTGTTTTTAGCCTTTGTCACTTCCTAAAAGCTTCTTCATTCCAACAAGTTAATTATGCAATTATTATCAAATGCTAATTGAGAGATAGAAATCAAATTGTGGGAAATATGAGGACCAAGGAGTAGCCTGGAACGTAAGAGCTTACGGTTTGGAGTCGGTAGAATGCCGATGCCGAAGTGTTTAATGGGAACAGTATTGCCGTTAAAAACCATAACTGTCTCATTACCTTGATATGGTTCGGGCTGGAGAACTTGACTGTAATCAGAGATGAGATGTGTGGTTGCTCCAGTATCCAAATACCAATCAACTGGATTGGATGAAGATGGTGAGGTAATGTAAGCGGTACGAGAGTTTGGTAGTAGAGAGGGAGCCACTTTCTTAGGTTGACAAGTGTATATTTAAGCGGTGCCAACATGTAAATGCAAGATGGCTCTGCTTGTTGCAAATTTGACAGGCCACTTGACCATGAGGACTAGACGGAGTAGCCGTAGGTTGTCTGGAGGGAGGGGTACAATTGTTGTCTTTGCCTTTGGATTTGGATGAATATAATGCCAGTTCCAAATCAGGATCAGCGGAAGTTGATGTGCGATCATTGGATCGATTGATCTCCTCACTAATGAGGAGAGAATACAGCTCAACAAGGCTAAGGGTGTGGAGCAAGTTCTTATGGTTTTTTTGAAGGGATTGTAGGATGTCGAAAGCCCTTTCAATATGTAAAGAATGATGTCTTCAACATTGACATGAGAATCAATAGCTGATATGCTGTCAACAGTAGCCTTAATTTGCAAGAAATACTGTGAAATATTGAGGTTATGCATCGATACATTGTGTAACTCATTCCATAGTTGAATAAATCGGGAAAAATTGGAGCTTTTAGGCACACTTCCAATGCTGTAAAGATTTCATGGCTGGTATCAAGGTTTAAGACATAGGGAAGTATAGTAGCTGAGATGGTAGAGTAGAGCGCAGCTGAGACATTATGGTCAATAAGTTGCCAAGTTAGGTAGACAGGATTGGGAGAGGAAGTGCCCGAGGTGTTGAGCACGTTCGGTTGAGGAGGGGTTAGGGTAATTTTGATGATTTGAGAATGCCATAAGGATAATTAGCAACATAAAAAGTATTAGTGACCATTCATTTCATGTTGGCCATGAGAAATTTTTGAGAGAGAGGGATGGGATTTTTGGAAATCCTAAGTTTTACTAACCCATCAAATATGTAGGAGTTATCCCATTCTTCCATGGTTGAGAAGCAATTGAACGTGAGCTCCCTGAAAGAGAAACAGCAGAAGCGATTTCAAGAACCGTACAGATACGGTTGAGCAGACTTCAAGAACCGTAGAATGAGGAGAGTTCACCTCTGGTCAAAGCAGATAAGATCTGTAATTAGGAAAAAGGGAAAGAAAAGAAGAAGAGAAGAAGAAGAACTTCATTAGCCATCTAAGGTGTCCCGCTCTGATACCATGAAAGAAAGGGAAAAAGAGGAGGAAACGGTCACATTTGCAGTATAATAGAGAAACGGAAATATTGCATACATTCAGGAATTAGTTACTGAGGACTATTTATAGTGATAGAAAGCTAAGCCTAAAGTAATACAGATTAAGAATTTAACTAAGTTTTAAACTAATGACTCATACACATATATAACTTTAATCAGTTTTGATATTATAAAGTAGATCATCTTACTTGCATACAAACAATTTTCTAGAATATAAATGTATTTACAAGGTTTGCTAAATCTTGCTACAAATCAACTCCATAAAAATGGGGTAAGTAAAGATGTTAATTGCATTTAAATTTAATATATATATATATATATATATAGTCAAATATTATATCAGTCAATTTTTTTAAAATAATATATGACATGGATACTACTTTTATTTGTGACCAAGCATTATAGTTTGTAAGAGTTCAAGAAAAAAAAAGTTTCGTGTGGCATTATCATGGATTAAGATAAATAATTTGATGATTATTTTAGAAATAATAAAGATTGCAAAGCTAGTTAGCACGACATTATGGAGATCATTGATATCTTAAACGGGGAAAGTTTTTTATCTGACCAAGATCCGAGGCTAAATTTAAGCTGAAAAATGTAATATACTCTTAACAAATCTTTGAAATTTGTGAAAAATTTATCCAACTGCTGTGTTTCAATAAGATTTCAGCTTGTTGTTTTCAGCCTGATAAAATCTACGCTTCCTAGCTAGCCATATGATTTCAGTTCCCATTTCCTATTCACAGTTTAGTAATGATATTTCCAGATTTTATTTCCATTTCAGCAAGAAAGTATTGACGATATGTTCCAGGTTCATGTATCTGCATGCCTGAAGCAAGAAGATGATTCATTACAGCCCCAGCTGCATATATATCAAGAAATAAAATCATTGTATTAGGGTTTTTCATTAAAAAAAAATGTCTTCGTGGTTATTATTCAAACCATCAACATAAATGGTGATTGGAAGAGCTATCAAATGAACAGAAAGATAGGCCACAGAAAGTGGAGTCATCACATGATTTTATCTTTAGGGCTTGTTCGGGATCACTTTTATTTTTTATTTTTGTCTTTGTTTTTGCCTTTGTTCTTGTATTTATTTAAAAAAAAATTAATATTTGTTTAGCGCTTTTTTTTCATGTTTTAATATTTTGTTTTACAAAACAAATTGACTTATTATTACAAATACTCAAAATATCTAAAGTTGCTTTGAATGTTTGTAAAATCAACTAAACATGTTATCACGTAGTTTTTGTTTGGGATAACTTTTTTGTTTTGTTTTCTTTTTTTTTTTTGTTCTTATTTTATTTTGTTTATGTTTTGATTTGAAACATAATAAGCATGTTCTGTATGCTTAATTAAGCTAATGCAGCTTTTGAAAACACTCGAAGCACCCAAAAGTTGTATTGAGTGTTTTTAAAAGCAAGTTTATTGTATTTAAAAACAAAAAAAAAACCCTAAAACATTATAAAAACACTTTAAACAAACATGTTTTTAAAATCAAAGGAAAAAACAAAAATAAAATTGAGTCCAATCAAGCCCTTAACAAACATGTTTTATTTAAAGTAAAAAAATTTATACAAAACAAAATAAAAACAAAAAATAAAAGTGATCCCAAATGGCTCATTAATTATTATGTATTTTTGGAAAAAAAATGTTTTTTATTCACATATACAACAACTTTCTTTCTGAATGATGTCATTAGCCACATTTCTAGCCTTGCTTATAGTTACACATTTTGTGAAGGATTGTGAATGTTGTTAAGTGAGTACAAGGAGAGTGATAATTATTTTTTAATAAGTGTGCTTCTTTAATGATTCAGTGATACACACTTTTAGCAACAAACCATTAGTCATGATTTTTAAAAACAAAAAAAAAATGACTACTAATTCCTTATTACATGTAACTGATAATTTTATTTAAATATCATAAAAAAGTGTGCCTATAGCTCTAAATTTATGTAGTGATCATTTGTGAATGATGGAATTGAAATTAAGAACAAGTGTGAGGATGGTGATTAATAGATGTTGAGAATTCATGTCCAATTGCCCTTAATCAAAGCGAAACAAACGGCTAAAATTGGGGCAATTGTATGATACAAGTCATGACGACACGTATGTAAAGTTAATATAAAAATTTAAATTATATAATGATAAAAAAAAAGTAAAAGAAATTATAACATCTAGCCTAAATATTTTAAAAGTGGTCAATAATTACATCATTTTCGATGTCATGTAATATTTTAATTAATATAGTAACTAAAACATTATTTATATACTGATTTTCAATTGTATTTTATAGTCAATATTCTATAATAGACATAATATTCACAACTCTTTCAACGCATGTTGTAATAATGGGTAAAACTAATACGATCAGTTCCAATAATTCAATGATAAAAGGATATAAAATAGCTTTCTTACATTCTTATTATAAATCATTTGCTCTACCACACTCTTGATATCTTTTAAACATGAAAACAACATATCATATTTCATATTTATACTAAAAATGTTCAATTGATTATCGTAAATTATTAAATCAATCAAAGTAAAATCAATTAAATGGAATGCACTGATACAAAAAATTTTGGTTTTTTGCTTTTATACATCAATTATTCAATTTTTTAGATTGTATATCAATTAATGTATAGAATATTTCAACTATATATATATATCTCATGTATTCAAGTATACAATGGGGAAGTTCATGAGCCACCCATTTATCATTCATTGAAGAAATAACTATCCTCTTACGATCATAAAATACAGATGTTATGTTAATAAGACTCTCCCCTTGTTATCTCTCACAACACAATGATGAGGAGGCCTCATGCGTGCCCCATAAGCCATGAGATAGGGTTAGTGCATGTTCCCTCTACCAGATCTAGAGTTTAGGGCATACATACATACATACATACATACATGATATTTGAAGATGATTTATCCATTAAATATTGCATATCTTAAAACAAATTCAACAATCTGTATTAGATGAATAACTTATATGTATAACAACATATAGTCTGTTAAAAACGTACGTACCTGGTATTAGATAAATCAAAGAGCTTTCCTGTAGCAGAGAAGACGATGAGCCCAACCTCCGCATCACATAGAATGGCCAGCTCCTCCGCCTTCTTGAATAAACCTCTCCTCCTCTTCGAAAACGTCACCTGTCTTGCCGTGGCATTTGCTATCTTCCTTATCTTTATCTTCTCCCTCGCCATCGATCTGCATATATAAAAAAATATATAACTATTTATATATATGTATATATATGAAACTTATAATCATGCTTCTCATGACTGTATAAATATGCATATGACCACGTGTAAGACGAATAGAAGAAGGCGGCTCTTTTTCCATCTTAATAAAAGGAAAATTGAGCGGGATTTTTCCAAATTAAGCGCTGTGGATAAGAAACCCTAGCTCCTTTGATTCGGCTAAATTAGAATACAGAGGTTTAAATGTCAGAATACCTACCGATCTTCTTGGAGCTCTCTCTCTCCCTATCTCTCTCTCTCTCTACACCCTTTTCAGAGCAACTTTGGGTTTTAGGGAAGATCCAAAGGGCCAATGGAAAAGAGACCGGAGGTCCGGAGGAACAATATAAGCAGGCAGGCACCAAACCATCACCTCTCTCTCTCTCTCACTCTTACCCTTTTCGTGAAAACGAAGAGAAAAGTCGAATCCCCACGTCAAAACCACCCGCCCGCTCTGTAAATACATGAGTGATAATTATTTTTATAAAATAATAATAATATTGTATTTAAGCACTTCTAGAGATTTATGAATAGATATTTATCGAATATAATTATTATTTTTAATACAAACAATGATAAATTGATCATGATGAAGATAAAAATAAAAATAATTTTATTTATGTGTTAATATTGCATTTTAATACATGTAATTTAGGAAAAACTATTCTATACGGACACCGCATGCAGAGATGCATGTAATTTACCGCATGCAGAGATGCATGTAATTTATGAAAAATTATTCCATACAGACACCGCATACAGAGATGCATGCGGTGTCCAATCTCTAACGTCGATCACTGCAAGAATGTATTTCGATGGACCCCACTTTTAAAATTTTTTCTTAAAAAAAAATTTAATCGCGGTGATCGACGGTGGAGATCGGACACCACATACTTGTATGCATCTTTGCATGCGGTGTCCGTATGAAATAATTTCTCGTAATTTAGACTTGAGAGTATTATTTTATTTGACTAAAAAGAAGCAACCACAAAATTATTCTTAATAAAAATTATAAAATACAAGATCTTTTCTCAAATCATCGAGCTTGACAACCTTATATGGCATAATAAGTTATACATCTAACAATATCATCATTATTATTTTGATATGTATTATTTTTCATCTAATTACTATTGGGGCTAACTCAGACCTATAAATAGTTGAGGTCTCTCACGGGTTGGGTTACCTAATATTTTTCATCAAGTTTTATTAAATATTCAGAATTATTAAAATTCAACATAATTTATGTACTATAATTAATTTTTTAATAATTGAATTTATTCTATTAATTTGGGATCAAGCCCTTCATTAATTTTGGGTTAAGAAAATGTTGTAAATTATATATATATATATGATTTTATTTATACATAAAAAAATATTTTTCACTTTTTAAACTTTCAAAATAATGATATTTATTTATATGAATTGATAGATTTAAGTGGTATAAATATAAAAAATAAAATTATAATTACTAGATATATAAATACTTGAAAGAATTAGATGGTATTTATCTAAGTATCCAAAAAATATATATAACGTATTTTTCTCTCTATTTATTATTTATTCTTTTTACTATGAATTTACCATAATAATTGTTAGAAAGTGCTGGTCCAGATATCGGGTCGTATTCTACTGTGGAATTTGTGGACCAGAAGGACCTTGGACTTCGTGTCAGCATTATTGAAATGCGGGTTTCCGTACACTAGTGGGCCCAGACGACTTTATTGGCCCGGTTCCGCCTCGCCTTTTTAGAGGGAAAATATATATTTTTTATTTTTTTCTGCTTAATTCCCGCTGTAATTAAAACAAAAAAAAAGATATTTACATTTACACCCCTCAATTCTAATAAAATTAGATAACCAACGCATAGACTTTGATTTTTTATGTTCTTAACACCCAAATCATTTTTATCACATCAAAAACATCACTATTATTAACTATTTAAAAGTCAAATATATTATTTGATGCATATTTATCGAAGTTTAAATTGAATCGCCGTGTTCTTTTAGCAGATGCTTATGTCTCCAATCTAAAATTCTCACATTCGAGTTATACCAGATGTGTGGCTCATCAATCTCCCCCGATTTAAGTGTTAGATATTTAAATATGTTCACAAACATACCGATACAAATGTCAATATTTGACGGCCTTAATGTTCATAAATCTTAAATGATATCATAGAGATAAGATTAAGCTGAAAAAGAGAAAGTTTCACGAACATAACATAACAGCATCTATGCGTTTACTATTATAATACCTTAAAAGTAATCAGAATTTGATATTTACATTTATATCTTTATGGTGCAATAAAATTATGTATGAAAAAATTTCATGTCTAATTATGATAAGATGAGTTGCAAAAGCAAATTTTTGTAATGCATGATAGTTAAAAAGTTTTGTAATGATTTGTAATATTACATATTATTTGGAAGTTTTTTTTTTCTTAAATTTTTTTTAAGGAATGACCGAAGGCTATTTTACGAGCCCCAACCATCATTTATGCGCCTAAGAATTCGAGTACCGCACTCTACACTCGGGTGGAATCGAACCCCAAACCAAAGGGGACTTCCAACTGATGAGCAGATGCCCGACTAACTGATCTAAGTACGCGACACACATATTATATGTCAGTTAAAAATAAATTATTCAATTCTACTATTCGCAATATTTTATTGAGAGCTTTATTTTTAAATGAAATTCCTTAGTTAAATATTTTATTATTTTGATGAGATTATAACTTAATAAAATGGATATATATAACTATATGACATGTTTAGTTTTTTTTAAATAAATACTAAAAAAATATTTTTTTTAATCATATAGACTAAAGAATTTAGAGAGGGAATCAATTTAAGATGAGAGTTTCTCTGACTTACAGGTCAAGTATATGGAAGATGAAATGTGCTTAAATTGAAATACATGTCATCTCAAGTAAGATCGGTTGGCCACTCCCTTTAAATTCGGTCAAATATATAGAAAGGCATGATTCCAACATACCTTTCAAAAATGTGTGAGTTTATGTTAAAAGCAATGAAAGAATCTTTGTAGTTTTATAAGTAAAATCATCACTTAAACTTGGCAGTCATAAAATACAAATATAAAAGTATTGTTTCTTATTTGCATTAAATTATGAAGAGCATATTGGCTATGAATTAATGTATGTGATCTGTTATGATATGACTCATATACCATATAGGGACAGACGCTGGATCGAAGCGGAGTGGAGCGGGGCGGAGCGGAAGAATCTGTCCAAATTGGGAAGTTACGTGGGTTGGGGTGCGGGGGCAAAGCCCCGCGGTATGGTACAATGGTAATGTTGTAATTACGTATTGTGCCTAGGTTTACTCCTGGGGTTATAAATAGGCATGTTAGTAATCCCAGGGGGTATCCCTCTATTATGTAATCTCTTTTCTGAATATTGAAATGAATCGCCGCTCTGCTCCCGAGGACGTAATCATCTTTGTCGAACCTCGTTAAATCTCTGACGAACAAGTTGTATTTGAAGCAAAAGTTGTATGGGCTGAAGATACAGGAAGGTTCTGATCTGGTGCAGCATGTTAATGACTTCAATCAAATAATCACAGACCTGTCACGGCTTGATGTGAGTATTGAGAATAAAGATCGCGCGATGATTTTGTTGTGTTCATTGCCCTCTTCCTATGAACACCTGGTGACTACTTTGACATATGGGAAAGACACTATCAAAGTGAATGAGATTACTGCAGCGTTGTTGGCTCGGAAGCAGAATGCAGGGGATGCAGGGGGAAGCTCTCACGG